GCTTATGTAAGACTATTCTCTTCATGGTTTGTCTTAGATAGCCTCCTTGGTATCTTTCGTAAAACAAAAAAAACAAGATTCCATTCCAGCCTCACAGACGAAAGCCAGAAACTTAGGAAAACAAAAAAGAATATGTTTGTACTCCAGGTTGCATAAATGTACATAATACTACTGAAAAATATCTGCAAAACAAGGATAAACAAAATTGCTACTGATGCAACTAACTGTAGACGAGGAAGGAAACGCTGTGTACACTAGAGACATAGGAGACCTCCGCATTTACCTCTCAAAAGCTGAATCTTTTTGTCTTCGGGCTAGCTATCACAACGCATACGAGAACTATATCAATTTCCTCGAAAGCGACCACCACGGAATAGCTACTGTGTACGATCATACTTTTATAAGAAACTATTGTTATGATTCTAGTAGTATCACGCCACCTTACTGGATTCCACGCAAAATGAAAGACTAACTGTAATCAATTAAAGAGATGTTTTTCTTGTATTGGAAGTGGAGGATTCGTGTTCTCTGTTTCTTTTCAGTTTGATGAGTATTTATTTTTGGTCTGATTTCCTTTTAATAACTTGATGCTTGTCTTTGTTGAGCTACAAGTTATTCACACCATGTCTCTAGTTTCTCTCGTCATTTACGTTTTAGATAATGTAGAGATTTGTGGCAACTTATATCAAAGCTCTGTTTCTTTTTTTTTTAATAGATTCTAGTATATACGTGGATAGTGCTTCTCTTTTCATATCAACTTTAGTACACAACTTGTGTTGTTTCTTCTTGTCCGTGACACAAGCTTGCCTTGTTTTTCTTGTTTTCTGTTGTAGACAAGAACCATGTCTACGTCTCAACATTTGTTCAACAAGTCAAGAGTAGTCTTTTTAGTCTGTATAAAAAAGAGTGTCTTCATCATTTGTTCTCTGTGATATTGTGAGGACTCAAAAAAAACATTGTCTTGAGATTTGTAATTCGGTTTAGAAAAGTCAATAAAGTGATTTGTTGCCTTATCAGACACAACCTCCACTTAGAAATTGCATTCATTCATTGTCTAATAACAGAAGAAAGAATTAGCTTACTACAACATACAAAGTGCTCAATAGATTGAACCAGGAAAACCAGCAGCATTTGTATTAACCGCAGAGATGAGCAGTTCCAAAGTCATCGGGACCGGTGAAACTAATGAGGTTTCGGTATTGGTCGCCAGCGTAGACACACATGGGTTCACACTTGGGGCGGAGTAAGATCCAGAGATCATCAATGTCTCTAGTGTAGACAGCGTTTCCAATCTTGTCTAGTTTGAATACCATGAAACGCTGCGTTTCCATCATGCCATTCCTTCGGAAGTCGCTCTTGGTGTACCACTTAACCAAAAACATTTGACCAGTGGGTTTAAACTCCACCAAGTGCTCGCTCGTGCCATACGAGTCCAAGAGCTTCCACTCTGACTGCACCATCTCGGGAACATCTCGATACCGCAACTTCTTCACCTTGCGATTGTAAAGTTGTTCTCCAAGATTCCATGATCCAATGTATTCCCCTCCTGAAGCAGGCATGGAGAACATCTCGTCTCTCTCTGAGTACATTACATGAGAGTTGAAGAAATACGGGTCGGTGATTTCGATGTTGGTCCACTCAGAGCTTCGAGCAGGTCTGCATAAGCTGAGCTGAGGTCCCAAGAACTTTATAGCCACAACACACTCTTCATCATCCTCTGGAGAAGAGGAGGAAATGGCCACGTTGGTTACAATTTGGGTTTGGCAATGAGGCAGAGCAACAAGAGGAGGCAGCGAGATGCGTTTTGGATCTGTATTTTGCTCAATTAGGTTTGGATCTTTTTGGAGAAACACGAATCCTTCCTTCCATGAAGCAACCCATCCATTGGATGATCCTATCCTTCCCATATCCTCTACCTCATCATCAGGATTTTTACAAACCTCGATGTATCCTTTATCTCCATTCCTCAAGACATTTATGTGGTAACTGGAATCGGATTCAAAGAAGAATCTATTCGTGACGTGTCTCTGCGTAGAAATCAAAAGACATCAGAAGAAGAAGAACATAACAAAACGACTTCACAGACAAGAAAAGAATTAGCTTACGAATGCAGGTGCTTTCCGGGAAGGAAGCTTCGAGAGCCGGCGGAGTAACAGAGACATGGCTGTTCGTACAAGATGATAACAAGACAGCAACCGGTAATAATGGATTTGACAAGAGAAAAAAAGGAATAAATAAATAATTACAGTTTTATGCAATTACTAATGCATAGAAATTGCCTTGCCCACCAAGTCTTCCTTTTTCTTGTTTTGGACTTTTAATACTAAGAGCATGGAGACAAATGTGGATGTTTTTAAATATAAAATTATTAAAATTTGAGTAAAAGGAAGAAAGAGAATGTTTTTGATTGAAATAATGAGATGTATTGAAATATAAAATTAATAAAATTTGAGTAAAGAGAGGAGATAGTAGATATTGTTGGAGAGATTGTGTCTTTAGGAAAACATAAATAGTGATTTTTGGAGAGAGAATATGAATGTGTT